ATATATATATATATATATATATATATATATATATATATATATATATATATATATATATATATATATATATATATATATATATATATATATAAAGGTACAACAATCAATAAAATCCACTGGGCATCTAAATAGTTTCGTACCACAAAATCTGTCACTCTCCATGCAGATAAATTGACCTAATGACTGTAGACTAAAACTTACTTACAAGGTTATATATGTATACAAGTGGATGAGAAACTTAGTCCTATTTACAAACCACGCGATTTAATTAACATGTTATATGATATGCTGACAGGACGCGAAAAGATTAACACACCGCCGGATAATTTGGATGTCTAGCTTTTAAATGTTACTTAACCCTTTAAGGGAATTTTTTACTATGCCTACATACATAGACTAACTCATTTCGTTTGTTTCAATTGGCCAGTTTTGGCTTACAAATAATGAAATAACTATTGCTCCCATAAACACAAATTACAGGTATTTGAAGCACAGTTATAAGGCTTAGCTCGTTTCAATAGTTTCGTTTTTCTTCTATTTAGTAATAAATTAAAGATGCCTAGTGAATTTTGTTGATTGTTGTACCTTAATTTAATTATGCTCTGGTTTTCCATTGAGCACTTTACCAAAAGTTTATATATATATATATATATATATATATATATATATATATATATTTATATCTTAAAATTAATTATTGCTACTCAAGTTTCACGCCTTATTCAAGACGATCTTCAGGCAATAATTGCCTGAAGATCGTCTTGAATAAGGCGTGAAACTTGAGTAGCAATAATTAATTTTAAGATATAAATATATCTTGCTCTACAATAATACTAGTGTTGAGCACTTTATTATCTACTACAACAAAACAAGTTATATATATATATATATATATATATATATATATATATATAAAGATAAAATAAACCTGGTTTACTTCATAAGATTTATTCTCTACAAGCTTGCTTCGTATGACAAGCAATGCTTGCCACCCTGCACTCATCAGGTGAATTTAAAAATTATATATATATACATATATGTATATATATATATATATATATATATATATATATATATATATATATATATATATATATATATATATATATATATATATATATATGTATGTATATATAGCCATTCTATTTAATATCCATATCCCCTGTGGCAAGGTCTTATAATTTCGACCGCTTCGGATACGTTTCTAGCCAATGCGCTTAAGAATTTTTTAAACTTGCTAAACCCACTTGTAAAATTTCCAATTTTTCTTAACCCCTTTGGAAATACCTGTTGATGATGTTCACTGGCACGAAACCTCGACCACGAGGACCAACGAGGACCACGACCTTGTGCATGTCAATCTGGCTAAATCATACAAATGTTGCGTTGCTTTAAATCGATTCAGTCACCTTAGTCAACTTATTTTGTGTTCAGATAAGCGTAGATAATTCAGAAAAGAAATGGTTTCGTTAGTAATTCACTTTAAATACTTTAAGGATGAAATGTGCGTGCAAGAGGTAGTAGATGGGCTAATGGTCATTAATATTAAAATAGTACATGTATACATGCACATATATATAGCGGATTCGAATGGCAATTAGAATTTCGGTGATAATGTTGGTAGCCACACGATTTGGAAATAGTCCATTTCCATTTAAACCAAGCGGCATGCATGGCAAATCTTATTGGTAGGAGATCAACTAATTGATGTAAAATTCATGCGGTAGTAATAATGGAAATCCGGTAAGCTGTTTAATTACTGTATTTTCTGTGTTAGTATTGACGAGGATACACTGGAAGATGACAACAGTGAAAGAGTGGTGAATTTAATATATGTTTCGCAAGATAATGTTTACAATATACCAGCATATATAGCAGGAAAAATATGTTCTTTTGAGATGCCTGCTAGTTCAATATGATTTAGTGATATCATCGGTAGTGGAGAATTTGGTAAAGTATATATCGGTGAAGCCCAAGGAGTCAATAGAAATCTCGAATGGACAACCGTTGCAATCAAAACACTCACAGGTTAGTTAAGACCACAGATCAAATATTATACTGTAATTGTTTAAATAATTGTTTCGCCCATGTCCATGCAAGTGGGTAAACGCATGGACCATTTTCATATATTCCAGCAATCGTTAGCTATATTGTCCAAAACCGTAGCGTGTATAAATTTCCATCATCATGTTTTGTTGATGGTAGCTGTTGACCATAAACAAGAGAAATTCGTTTTAACGCTTAGCACTATTGGCAGTTGACGTCTACTCTCGAGTAAATAATAAGAGGGCAAAGGTTTTTTCGTGATGTACCTTGTTGCTATAAAATTATCCATCTCGAAGCGCTTATCATGCATGTACTTATTTTTGGCTATCAAATGAAAGTTCAGGTGATTGCATCGCGAGCTATCAAAAATATTATCATGGCGTTTTACCATGACATAAAATGAATTAGGCCTAAATAATGGTAATTTACAAACATTCGGCAATATTTCGGCAATATTTCCTTAACATTCGTCAATATATGACCTCAGTAATTTCTAAGAATTCCAAATTGTAAATCACTAAAAATACCTACGTATGCATTCGGAAAGGTTGCAGTGACATATGTTGTCATTCAGGTATCGGCATTTAAGGAATCCGCTAACCTCAATAAATTAAACAAATGTTATATAGAATCTGCCAATGAAGAAGAGCTTAATGATGTCTTACGTGAAATTGAGTTGATGACTGATCTTGGAAAACATGAAAATGTCATTCAGATGTTTGGTTGTTGCACAAGATGTCGTCCAATATGTTTAGTTCTGGAATACGCCCCAGGCGGAAATTTAAAAGTTTATCTGAGGTCTCTTAAACAAAAGGTAATTACCTATCAAAGCTCGTTTAATGATTGCAACGCGGACCTTCCATTGTTTGCGTAGGTCATTCTTTAACTGTTTAGTAAAAATATTCCCCTGTTACACTGCATGCATGGGGAGATTAATTTTTAGAAACATTTGTGTCTTTCAAAAATCAGAAGTTCTTCATAAATTTCAAAAATTTTTACGCCGTTTCGTGACCATTTGAAAATTCTCAGCTTTCTATTCTCCCTGCAATGGTAATTACATTTGCAGAAGCATTATAGAGGAAAATTGCGCCGTGCATGCTGTTTCTATTCGGCCAATTTACCTGATCTCACTGGAAAAAAATTATGCATAGTTGTATTCTTATACTTTTAAATGTGTTTATTTTTTCATTTTTAGTGCAATGTATCCATGGAAACGTTGCACTATTGTGATGAGTGGCGAAATTCAAGTGAGAGATACATTGTGTAAACTTTCCGGGGGGGGGGGAGTTGCAAATGTTGTTCCAATGCCATATCTAAAAAAACTTCAATGTTGGACAATTTTTAACGTTAAAACGATATTTATAGCTATAGTAAAATTTCTTAAATTTGATTTAGCTTGACGATCAATGTTTAAACGTCTATGTTACAGCAATGTTAAAAGTTTAATAAGATAACAAATATGAGGATTCGTGCCATTAGCACCCCCCGTATCATCAAATTTTTGTGAGAACTGCAAGTTAGCAAAATCAGCACGCACAAATAAATATGGCGACGCGTATGAGTGCTGGTCGAAATTTTAAAACAATTTAACATTGATATGTATTATTTCGATGCAATTTATTTTAGACTCTATTTCAGGGTTTCAACCACTGAGCTATAATATATCTGGAGGAAGTGCTCGGCATCAAGAGGTAAAGCCAAAAACATGGCGGATTTTCACGTTTTCTGACGCCAGAATGACGCCACTGGTCCCAAATCCTCATATAGTAATTACCACAGAGCAAGGCTCATTTTGAGCCCGCTACCACTTTCACATCCCCCTGATTTATTATATCGAAAAAATATTTTAGCTTTTGTTTTGGAGTTTGCCTCGATGTTTGCATTTTCTTCGACATTTTAACTTTTATTTCGAGTTGCACAAGTAGTAAGAATCATCCTGGCTAGTGCAGGACATGGAACGAATCTGCAAACCTCAAAAATTTTGGAAAGACGTTATTTTGTAAAGGTAAAAAAATATTGTTTATATGTTCAATATTAATTTGTGATTTTCAGTGTGATAGAGTAGGTCAAAACAAAGCGAAATAAACAGCCTATGTGTACTGTGTAGTGGACAATTTTAGCAACTGATGTATACAATTAGGTTGCCCAAACTATATTAATACGAGAAACAGTCTTCCTCGAAAGAAAATGGTTGAAATTTCAGATTTTAGTTTCATTTGTTATTTCAAATTTTACCATATAAAATGCCATTTTTGACCACCATCTACTTATTAAAATTAAAGTGATTTCTATTGTATTAGTATACCTATAGAGGAAGACCTTTTTAAGCCAGAACTATCATGGCTTTGAATGATTTAATCCATGTTACTGGTCACTGATGGCAATGAAATTTTAATGTGCAGAATTATCAACTGCCTACAGTCTCAAGATCCAAAAACTGGCAGTTCAATTCTACCAACTTCTGTTGAAGCTAGTTTCATATAGTGCGCCCTAGCTACTTGTATTTTACTTGTCTAACGCCAGATGATTTTACCGTAGGCGTACGAGACATGGGTGCGGGGGGGGGGATGCAACTGCCCGGGCCAAAATTTTGGAAAACCATGGAAATTCGCGCAAATCCTAAGAAAAATCATGAAAATTGAGGCAGATTTATCAGAAAATAGGTTAAATTCAGGCAATTTCATTACAATCCTCCATAAAAAATAAGGCAAACTTCAACTGCCCCCCCGGAAAGCGCCAGTCTCGTCAATGGAGAAGTTCTGCAGCTTAATGAGTTAAGAAAATGAAACATTTCTTGATGATATTTGATGTTGGTAATTGATCTTGCATTTTTGGAGAAAAATATTTTACACAGTGGTTGTTCGCCTGACACTGAATCCCAATATTTACATACTATTTGTCTGAACTATTTTCCACATTCTTTCAACATGCTAAAATGATACAAAATAAATTTCAGTTGAATTCGAGCAAGTCCTCGGGGTCCCGTTGTCAACACTATCACCTTGTTAGTAGCATATATCTGCTTAAGCCCTGGGTTCTTGAAAATGAGTGGAATATTTTCAAGAGCATTGACTGGCCGGCTTTGTGCAAACAGGTGGCCAAACCAGTTAGGATCGGGGCCATTTAAGGTTAAGGTCTGATGCAGGCAAGGTTCATGTAAATTACTTATTGTTAGCAAGAATGTTATGTGTACACAATCATATGTAATATTGTGTTGGATTAATAGCAGTTAAAACGTTGGGACCCAGTGTCGGACACTAACCACAACAATTATAAAATAAGGTATTTGGTTGTTATAGTGTAATATTAATTTCTCACATATTTTTTCAGATATAAAGCAGCATTGAGCACATGCAGTACATGTTGGGATTCAAGAGAAGTCACAAACTGTTGATGAATATATTTAATTAACTACATCCACACAGAATACAATTTTATTAACAGTATTTTGATTTATGGTCATAGTTATTACATTAGATAATTTTCATAATAAAAATAAAATTAACAAATTACAATATCAGTGTGAAAATATTGCAATAATCAATTAAAATGTCAAACCAGATAATTGTTTCTATTATTTAATTGTGAGTGTAACCTAACACCCCCCCCCCACCACCCCACCCCCTGAGCTAGGGAACAAGAGAGTTGCTGTGGACCCTATAATAATTATCCCTTTTGATAAGTGACAATGCACCATATAATTTTCCTTTCAAATGCTAGACAAATATACTTAATTGTCAACGCATGGGGAGAGCTCTATCATTCCGTGGGTTGACCAGTATATGTTAAGCCTTTGATAAGTGGCAATGTGCCCCAGTGCATCCTACTTTATTATTATATTCTGTCTAATGGCAGACAATTTTATTTGTGAAGGGGAGAGTGCTGGTGCTCATTGAGTTTGGTGGAATATACTAATTTCTTTGAACAAAGGTGTCATTCGCTTTTGTGCATGGCATTTAATCAGGGCATTCTTCAGGATTTTTTTTTGTATCTGGAAGTGTAATAGAATACATCCAATCAGTCATGTACTATATAATTTGGTCTACATGCTATTGAACATATTTTTTCCTTTCAATTTTCAAATATTAAAATATGTCATTTAGAGTGTTGTGAAATAGGCATCCCTTACTCACCCATTGACTTCTATTTTATTTTGTCTTTATCTTTTATTTTGACTTCTATCCATAAACTCATTTTCGTCTATGAACTATAAACTTTACGTGTACAACTAGGTATTGGGCCTCCTACTGTTAGCCACTTAGCAATGAAAAAAATATTAAAATTGTCTATTAAAATCACAACTCAAATTTGTAGTGTGAGCCTTGCACGCTTTTATTCAACACTTACTCCTACGGAGACGCTTATTAGGAACAGTTTTGATCTGTTTTGTGCCCACTACAACCATATATTGGGCCTCCTAGTCTTATGACAATATATTTAAACCCTAGGATAAGTTGGGACTTGACAGGCCATTTGTCCATCATTTTGAGGCATTTCTGTTGCTATACTGTATGTGAAAATTGATGTTGGATCTTTGGGTAAGGACTCCAGATGAAAATAAAAACTATAACCTACCCAAAATGGCAAAATAAAACATAAAGAAAAGTGATAAAGGAAGAAAAATACCAGCTGATGTACAACGTCCTTATATTTGTACTAGGCCGTATTCTGTGGCACGAAAAGTCGCTTAGAAAACGAATTCCGTTGCCCGGGTTCGGGCATTACTTTGAAACAAGATAAATAATTAGGAAAAATTATACAAAGTCCAAATCCGCTTGTTTGCACTTCCCAAAACCTGCAGTTTTCGAGTATTTCTTCTTCGAAAATTGAAGAAATCGACATCTTTCGCAATCGATCGCCGCCATTTTTGTTCAGGATACTTGGTGTAATAAACACTCTAAATGCCGATTTTCGCGGGCTCATGCTCATTCTTACATGAAGTTTCCAGCTTAGCATTTGTAAACATGGCGTCTTCTGATTCATGTTTAATTCATTTTGATGGGAAAAAAGGCCCACTTACAAGTTTTAGTGTGGTTTCGTATCAAAAATTTTTAGATTGTCGTAGAATTTGGCTAACGCTAGACGGGGAAGAACGCAATGTTGCTCAAAGAAGTTTGCAATTTGTTAGCGACAGCATGGAAGTAGCACGGTCGAAAATATCGATGCAAATTTCTCTTTATATCATTGAAGTTGTTACTCGGCATTCACAAATAGCAGTATGATCAACCGAGCTCAAGAGCGTTGTCAGAATATGGACAAAGAAGGTGTACCTTAATACTCTGGTCTCCATATTATTGATGAAGAAACGGAATCAGATGAAACTCCACCTGTAAAGAAAATGCTGAGATCTACACACGTAAAAATCTCACAACTTGTCAACAAGATGTGTTCGCAACAGACATGTAGCAAGTTTGTCAACAAGTTGTAAAAATTCTGTTACTTTATACAAGCTTGTCACTCACAACTTGTTGACAAATTGTTGAATTGCTGTTGGAACAACTTGTAACAAGACTGTTGAGTTTGACAACCTTGTAGCAAGTTGTCAACAAGCTGTTGACAACTTGTCAATAAGCTGGGAACAAGCAGTGCGAACACATCCTGTTGACAAGTTGTTGTAGCAGCATTGCTACAAGTCTGCTGCAGGTTTGTTACAACTTGTGCATTTTTACATGTATACGCTGAGTTCACTTACACATATAAAAACGCACAGCTTATAAAAGTCCGCAAACAAGTTGTTACAAGTCTGTTCACAAGCTGTCAACAAGTTGTCTTCACACTGCTTGTTCCCAGTTTGTTGTAGCAAGTTTGAAACAA